GCTCTCTAAATTAAATGAGCGGAAAGGGGAACAAGTATATAAATTATTGGTGGGTACATGTTCACAACAGTCCTTCAGAAAGTTACGTCTATGATGAAAGCTTATGTTTAAGACCACCTCCTCTGTTGAGAGATGGGTTTTTCAGGTTAACAAAGATGGCTTCCTTAACGCCTCTCTCAAACCAACGCTTTTCATGGCTTTTCAGTTTCTAATCTTTTTTTTTGGTGTTTTTATTTAAACATTTTTGAATCTGCTTAAAAAATGTCTGAACAAACTTTATGGCCTCAAGAGGCTCTAGCACATTATTCAGGTTCAAATAGGACTAGATCAATGGTTTGTTAATTCAATGAAATTTATTTTGAGTTTATTTACGGTATATATATATTCACACATGCTGAAGCCAGACTCATTCTATGTGAACAGATGCTTTGATTATAGTCTGGATGGATGCATATGAACTCCATTCTGCTCTGCTTTTAACCCACCAGTGATAGCCTCTAAGGGTGAGAGCTATTGGCTCACCCCTTAAAGTTCTGGTCCCCACTAGCCCTACCCAAAGCGAGGTAGGGATAAACACGCAGAATGTTTTTAGAAAGAAGCATAAACACTCTTATAATGGCCAAAAAAACGTTCTTTGTTTGCATAAATTAGTATTTAGTAGTAACAAATTAATATTTTGTGTGCACAACTTAGTATTTCATGCACATGTTGTATATGCTTTTTGCCTATGTCAATTCCCAGGCTGTGTAATTTATAGCTATACAGGAACAGAGTATCTTCTTAAAAAGTCTGTCCTGCATTTAATTAGGGTATTGTAATGGAAGTCTTTTTGCATGGGCGGAGCTAAGGGGTGGCCAAGGGTGTTTTCAATTTCTTTTCTTCGGCCACCCCTGTGTTCAACCCTACTCAGCCATTTGTAGTTTCCATGTAAACCTTCGCCAGAACAAGCAGTTCCCATATAAACCAGATGGTGGCAGCAGTGACACTTTGACATTTTAATTAACAATAAACTGATTATGCAAATACCGTAAATAATTATTCACATCAACATACTAACATTAAAGATGGCAAAAACAGAAATCAGGCTCTTTTCAGAAGCAGATTTTATATTTTTCTGTCTCTCTAGTTATCTAGGATTCATCTCTGTAATTAGAGCTAAGAACAACTTCTGACCTCATTCTATGTGTATATTATTCAGAACCCTAAATTATTTATTTAGACTGCATAGATGTGCTAACAGGTCAGATGTAATAGAAAATACTTGGTGAAAATATATGTATTTAGTTTATTTTCACAGTGTGATTCGTGTATTTTGCTGCTTTTATGTCGTCAGATGCCTTTAAAAATCTAGAACATTGTTTTTTTTTTTTGATAAGTAATGAAAATTATCAAGATTTATTTTAGGGAAAATGCGAAATAGGCATTTGTGCATGTACCACATTTCTTTTGATATCCAGTTTTGCAGCTAAGCATTCCTGGAGCACAGCGTGCAGAAGCAAGTGCTTGGTTCACCTAACTTCCTGCACAGCATGCTAAATGGCTTGCCATCTCGCCTTGTCTACTCCAGACATTATTAATAAATGTTTCATTAAATCTACAGTGTGTTATTTTCAACGATATCTTTTGGTCAGTCCTGCAGACTGAGCGGCTCTCCTGACAGTTTCTCCCCATCCTACATTACAGAGGGTGGTACAAAATGGCCTCCACAATATCACCTATCATCCTGTTAAGTGATGAAGAGGTTTGTTTTGTATGAATAATCTAAAAAATAGTATCTTATGAATGTTTATGAATATCTCTACAAATCTGCTGTCCCATGCTGCGCCCCCTGCTGTCGGATCAAGGGTACTACCCACAATTAAGAGATAATTTTTATCAGTGTGACATTTGTGTCAAAAGTTAAAATGAAGGCGTAACTTGTAAAGTTGAATTGGTGACTCACAGCAGCAGATTCATGCAGCTGTATTCATTGATTTGTATTTGTGTTAAGGAAAAAAAAAAAATAAATAAATAAATTTAATACTCGTGTTTGAATTTGTTTTGCACCATTTGTTTTAGATCAACTTTAGCAAAACTAAATGGAAGACATTTTTGATGTTGAACTCACAGAACACAGTTTGTGTACTTGTACTCAAGAATTTGAAGAGGTGTAACTTTTTCTTTTTTAATTGTGAAAGATAAAAACAAATCTACAGTTACAAAACACCAAAGTTAAAATGCACTAATAATTTGTTCTCTACCAATAGTTCTCTACCATTAGGAGCAAAACTGAGAATGTAAGAGGTTTTTGATGTGCTTCTTGTACAACAGGATTTGTGTACATGTACTTAAAATTTGAACGGGTGTTAAAAAAATTTGTACTTGTGATTTTTTTTTTTCTTCAAATACAAAACTTAAGACTGTAACTCTCTCTACAGCCTCAAATTCACACTTACAATAAACAAATAGTTTTGAAACAACACCTTCATAAATATCTAAAAACTAATTTGTCCTCTCTGTGCTGCCATAGCGCAAAGATATCTGCTTCCATAAATGCAAGACCCGCTCCATAATAATTCCATTATTTATAATGCTTTCAGTTTTTAGATGATTGTAAATAACATATTTATGTTTATTACATTTATATAATATATATAATTTATGTTTTCAAACTGTATTGTGAAGTACTTTGAGGCTTTGGTCTTTGATAGGTGCTATATAGATAAACCTTATTTACTTACTAAATACTAATATTAGAATATCTTGAAGTAAATACATGAATCTTATTAAATAAATCAATTCAGATAAAAATAAATAATAAATATATAGAAATCTCTCATATACATACATCTATATGTATTTACATACATATGAATTCATACATATATATGTATCTATATATATGTATCTTAAATAAGTAAGGTTAAAGTAAAATCTTTAAGCAAATAAAGCTAAATAGGCTAAACATGCATTTTTAATAAATACATTTTGTTATGTTTAATGTGAAACTTTATTTATTTTATTGAATATTTATTAAGAATTTATTTAGAGCAGTATGTTTTTATTAGTTAAATTTTTTATTAAATAAATAAATACTGCAGGAAATGTCTCTGAAGCCTCAATCTGCAGCAGTNTCCATAAATGCAAGACCCGCTCCATAATAATTCCATTATTTATAATGCTTTCAGTTTTTAGATGATTGTAAATAACATATTTATGTTTATTACATTTATATAATATATATAATTTATGTTTTCAAACTGTATTGTGAAGTACTTTGAGGCTTTGGTCTTTGATAGGTGCTATATAGATAAACCTTATTTACTTACTAAATACTAATATTAGAATATCTTGAAGTAAATACATGAATCTTATTAAATAAATCAATTCAGATAAAAATAAATAATAAATATATAGAAATCTCTCATATACATACATCTATATGTATTTACATACATATGAATTCATACATATATATGTATCTATATATATGTATCTTAAATAAGTAAGGTTAAAGTAAAATCTTTAAGCAAATAAAGCTAAATAGGCTAAACATGCATTTTTAATAAATACATTTTGTTATGTTTAATGTGAAACTTTATTTATTTTATTGAATATTTATTAAGAATTTATTTAGAGCAGTATGTTTTTATTAGTTAAATTTTTTATTAAATAAATAAATACTGCAGGAAATGTCTCTGAAGCCTCAATCTGCAGCAGTCTTTGAAAATGCAGGCTGTCATTACACAGAATTTCTTCTCCATTACCTTCTCACTCACTACACTCTTCCCATCCCAGGCCCAGCCTCGCTTTGTGAAGTAATTGACTGTTGCGAACTCAATCAGAGCGGAGAACACGAAGGCGTAACAGACAGCGATGAACCAGTCCATGGCGGTGGCGTAGGCAACCTTAGGCAGGGAGTTCCTGGCGCTGATGCTCAGAGTAGTCATCGTTAGAACGGTGGTCACGCCTAGAAAATGAGAATAGGATGTTTTATGATCCACCTTTGATCACATTATTAGAATGCTGCCCATGAAGCCAGGCACTCTCTCATATATTGCATTTACGTCCTCTTACCCTCTATAAGCGCTTTAGAGAATAAATATCCACTATTACTGGTCCTCTCCTTAATGTTCCCCCTATAGATAGATCTTATGACCCCTTAGCCCACTAACATGACTTTAAGCTGACTGATCAGTCCATTAACAGCTGGTTGACTCTAAAAGCCGCAAGGTCTCCTATATCCCACTTCCTTACACTGTAATAGCTTTGAGATTGAACCATCATAACATTGGTGTTGCGTTATATTCATCTAACGAGGGTTTAGAACATGAAGTAGTGCTTTACTTACCAAACACAGTCCTAGCAGGCACTGATTCTCTGTTTAGCCAGAAGGACACCTGGGAAAGGATGACTGTCATGATGCATGGGAGGTACGTTTGAATGACAAAGTAGCCAATCTTCCTCTTTAGGTGGAAATGAGCTGTCATCACTGTGTATTCACCTGCAAAAAAAGGAAGGACAATGTTGAGAACAATCCATAAAAATATTCACACTCATTCATTATTGCTTCACTCAGTTTGGATTTAAGATAATTCTTTTAATTAATTATATTGATGTATGTTGTCAAATTGTTGAATGATTTAAGCGTTTCTACGGGTTAATTCCTCTAATGAAACATCCTTTTTCCTGGAAATGAA